GGGTAGTAGCGGCTTGAGCCAAGTGTCCTCTGCCACCACAACAGAGGCCGTGGTCTAACGGAGGTTTGCAGGAAATGAGTAAGCCATGAAGTTGGATGAGCAACGGGGCAGAGGAGGAAGAGGGCTGACCTCGCGGGTAGGTGTGGGCTTGGGCAGGGACGGCAGCCTGGCAGGCGGCGGTGGCGGTGGGGGAGGGGGAGCGGGAGCGGGGGCAGCGACGGGCGTCGATGTTTGTGCAAGGCAAGCCACGTGGGCAGCAAACACGGGATCCAGCTTGTCACCATGTCCGCGTTGACGGCCACAATCAAGGGGAGTTTTACCAGACTGAGGACCCGTCCACAGCCAAAAGCATCGGAACACGTGAGATGCGCTGCGACGCAAGGTGGGAATTTGGCGATACGCGTTCATTGTCTCGATAAAAAAAAAAAGGCTAAGAGTGCCGAGGACCCGCTCGGCAGGCGAGTGGTATGAAGATAGAGCGAGCAAGTCGCAGGACGGATCGATAAAAGGTCAGAGAAAAAGTGTTTGGGTGAGAAACAAAAAGTCATATCGGGTGGACCAAGGCAGAGAGAAAGAAAGAAAGAAAGAAAGAAGAGCGACTGGAAGCCGCCGGAGCGCGCAAAGGAAGCAGAGGCGAGCGTGATGGCAAGGGATGGGATGGTGTCCGGATTGCTGTCACAATATCATGCCGGATGGGAGGCAGAGAAACACGATTTTGCAATCTCAAAACGGAGAATAAAAGAAGGGGGGGATCGAGAGGGGGAACGGACGCGCACGGCGGGCTGCAGTGTAGACGAGACCGCCCAAGGGGACGACAGCTGGAGCAGGATGAGGAAGGAGAGAGGGAGGCACTGACGTTATTCTTGGCTTCAGCATCAACGCCGTGCTTCAACAGCCTCTTCACTACCTTGACGCGACCGTTACGGCAGGCATGGTGCAGTGGTGTTTCGCCGTTCTGTGGAATTATGCACCAGCGTGTACAAGTTCAATACTTTTATGTGTTAAAGGCATACAATAAGCTGGGGTAAGGGAATGAGGGACTGACCTTGCCCTTGGCTGTAACATCAACGCCATGCTTCAACAGCATCTCCACCACCGTCACACAACCGGTCATGCAGGCAGCGTGCAGTGGTTGATCTTCATCCTGTGGGTTGATGTATCACCATCACGGACAGATACAGCATCATCATCATCATCATGCGCTACGGCTACAGGTGTATCATCACAGGGGGAAAAGTGGGAGGAGGTACTGTACTGACGTCGTCCTTGGCTTCAGCATCTATGCCGTTATTCAACAGCCTCTCCACCACCTCTACCAGGCCGTTCAGGCAGGCCCAGTGCAGTGGTGTCTCGCCACTCTGCGATATGATGCATTGTCATCACATCCAGGAACAGAATCATCTATGACAGGTTTACCATCAAATGGGGGCAGGATACGAGAGAGATACCGACCTTGCCCTTGGCTGTAGCATCAGCGCCGTGCTTCAACAGCATATCCACCACCAGCGCACGACCATACATGCAGGCATTGTGCAGTGATGTATAGCCATCCTATGGCATGATGCATCAACAGTCATGACGTACAGGAACAGAATCACCTTGTGCTACAGGTGAACATTATGTAGTAGGGGAAGGGTACTGTACTGACGTTGTCCTTGGCTTCAGCATCAACGCCGTGCTCCAACAACATCTCCGTCACCTTTATTTCACCGTACAGGCAAGCTTGGTGCAGTGGTGTTTCGCCATCCTGTGACATGATGCACGTACAAGTACAGCGTCATCACCTCATTCAAACTTTACCATCAAATGGGGCAAGGGAACGGAGGAGGTACTGACATTGTTCTTGGCTTCAGCGTCAACGCCATGCACCAACAGCATCTCCGTCACCTTGATTTCACCGTACAGGCAAGCTCGGTGCAGAGGTGTATTGCCATCCTGTGACATGATGCATCACCATTATGGACGGGTACAGCATGACCATCATGTGCTACAAGTGGATCATAAAAGGGTGGTCAAGAGAGAGATACTGACGTCGTCCTTGGCATCAGCATCAACGCCATGCTTCAGCAACACCTCCGCCACCTTCAGGAGATAGTGTTGGCAGGCCCTGTGGAGTGGTGTATAGCCATCCTGTGGAATGATTTATCAACATCACGGACAGCCACAGCGTCATCATGAGCTTGCCTCACAAAGTGAGAACAGGTATGACAGTTGGTGTATCACAAAGACAGAAGGTACTGGCCTTGTCCTTGACTGTTGCAGCGACGCCTTGATTCAATAGCATCTCCACCACCTCCACATGAGACTTGAGGCAGGCATTGTGCAGTGGTGTTTCGCCACGCCACTGTGGGTTGATATAGCACCATTATGAACAAGTACAGCATCCTCATACATTACAGGTTTTGGGGCATGGAAAAGAGAGATACTGACGTTTCTGGCTGTAGCATCAACATCGTGATCCAACAGCGCCATTGCCACTTGTACATGGCCGTGAGAACAGGCCCAGTGCAGTGGTGTATCGCCATTCTATGGGATGATGTATCACCATGACGTATGGGAACAGCAACATCATGTGCAACAGGTGTCATCACGGGGGAGGGGAGAGGCAAGCGGAAAGTACTGACGTTGTTTTCAGCTTCAGCATCAACGCCATGTTTCAACAGCATCTCCACCTCCTCCACATAACCGTTACTGCAGGCCTTTTGCAGTGATGTGTTGCCAAACTGTGGTATGTTGCATCACCGTTACTTACAGGCACAGCATCATGTATAGGGGGCAGGCAAGAGGAAGGCACTGACGTTGTCCTTGGCTTCAGCATCAACGCCATGCTTCAACAGCATCTCCACCAACTTGACGTGACGGTTGCTGCAGGCCGTGTGCAGTGGTGTCAAGCCATGCTGTAGTACGATGCACCACCGACGGCAGCACCATGTGTTATGAGTCAACCATGATACGGGTAAAGAGAGGAAGGGGGAGGCACTGACGTTGCTCTTGGCATGAGCAACAGCTCCAAAGTTCAAGAGCGTCTTCACCACCTCCACGTGGCCGTGGGTGCAGGCCCTGTGCATTGGCGTATAGCCATCCTGTGAAGTGATGCGTCAGCATTGCGTGCAGGAACAGCATCAGCATGCGGTGGCTCGAAAAATAAAAAAATAATTAACATAACAGATGATGGAGGGAGGTACTGACCTTGTCCTTGGCTTCAACATCAGCGCCGTACGTCAACAGCACCTCAACCACCTCTGCGTAGCCGCTCCGGCAGGCATAGTGCACTGGTGTATTACCAAACTATGGGATGACGCGATGCATACCGTGTTACGGGCTAGACCATCGTCTCCAGAAGCGATGACTTCAAAATGTAGCGAATATCACACAATGTCAAGTCAAACAGCATGCGTACCTCATGTTTGAAAATGACAGCGGATTCAATACGTTCCTGGTCCTCCCACCTGTCGAACAGCTCCAACGCCTGTTGCGAATCTGATGAAAGACATGCCCTGCACAGCTCCCACCCATCGTCACTCATGGTAACGGTGTCTCTCTATCACCATCCGCTTCTGCTGATATCACACCAGCAGTCAGACAACCCGCATGAGCGGTCTGACTCGAAATTGAAACGTTTTAATGTCGAGACGACAGCGACAGTCCGGCAATGACGGGGCCGGCAGGCGTCGAGTGCGGGTGGCTTGGTCTGGAAAACCCAACCGGCTGTGACTCTAAACGCACAGGTAAATGAGTGGCAGAACCACAATATGGCAGTTGAGGTGGCACACCTCAAGCAAAGCAGAACAGCGGTTGGTCTTCATCAACAACAAGCGGAGGGCCGAGAAACATGGCACACCTCTCACCAGACGGAAAAGCATCCGCGCAAGCAGGCAATGAGAAGAACAGTGCCTGTGAGACAGACCTCCAAGCCAACACCACCTGGTGTCCGACACAAACTTCAATCTGTTATTCAACAACTTACACCTCGTATGTTATCAAAGCTGCATCAACCTCTCTGATGGCGTCTTTAAACAAATTGCGTGCTTTCATCAACAAGAAAAAACGCACGGAGTCGGAATACATGTACTCTGACGCTCCTCTATCAACCGTGCCGGTCGATCCAGGAGGGCATGTCGGGCAGTAGAAGACCGGGAAGGCAGCAGCAGGACAAGGTAGCCGGAGGTCTTTGCACAGGATGGGGAGAAGTAGGTTGATGTAGAGGAACGGAATCAGAGTTGCGGCGTGGTGCCTGCGTGGTTCTCATACAAGCAGATGAGTACGTTAGCGTGGCAGAAGAGTCATGTTGTTGCGTGTGACTTGGATGTTGCTTGTGACCTACAGGTCACAAAATATTGCTCATGGACATTGCCATTATCGATGCAATTGCAGCCGTAGGGCTCGCCGAGCAAGCCTGAAAGAGGCCACAATACCCCAAACAAAATGGTCTTGCGATGGTCGTCTACAGCAAAATACGAACCACCATCACACAAGATTGACATGTGCATCAGCCCCATGCCCTCAGACAAACACTGCTTCAACGCAAGGCAGCGTATGCACCTGCATGGTTGACATTGGGGGTCCACCAGCGCCTCAATCTCAGCCATGGTCGACGTCTCTAGGAGCAGGCGAAGCGTGCCATAGCAGCGAATGGTTTGGAATTATTACGCTCAGAATAGAATTACATGTAGTTATTTAACTCATTGCTAGAGAACGGACTCAAGGGGAAATTTTTTAAAAAATTCTCGTTCAAAAAAAAGCCCCCAGCGCCTGTCATGCAGCCTGAACGCCCTCCGCAGGGGCACTTCCGCAGGCTCCAGAGCGTCTGGAGACCAGTTTTGGGTTAGGGAACGCACGGCTTTGAAGCTAAGACTGCCATCAAGAGTGGCGGTGGCTTTTTGGTTTTTTTAAATTGGCAAGGGGACGCCCCTTGTGAGTTGGAGCCCTTGTGGGCAAGTCGTGTCAAGCAATATGCTGAGGCGTGAGATTTTACTACGCCCTCGGCTGAAGGCTTGATCATGCAGCGACGTGACCAATCGGGCCGCCGGGCGCCCAGCAGCAACACCGGCAGACGAACAATGCGACGCGGCAAGAGGTTGACGGAGGATCCTGAGTTTTCGGCTTCAAACTCTGGTGTTGGCCTCGGCGCACCGCCGCCAGTGTCCTCGAAGCGCAGTAAACAGGGCTCCAAAACTCATGGCATTCTTCCAAATTGCACTGTGTTGGCGAGTCGAGCCCTTCGTACCTCGCCGAGCTCCATTAACCAGCCTCATGAGCACGAGCTCGAATCGGCTTCCACGTGTGTCGAAATGCCTGGTGAGACAACAAGGCGTGACGAGACTCTCACGAGAGGTACTGGACGCCAGCCAGGCGCTGTTCTGCAAAGGCCGATTGCTGCCTCTGACTCTCAAAACACGGAGGACGACAACGATGAGCCGACGTCTCCAGACCCAACGGATTTAGCAGTCAACGAGCGCGACAGCCAGCGCGACAGCCAGCGCGACAGCCATCAGGGGCGTGGATGGTCAAACCAGAAGCTGCCAACCAGGCGTCTATCGCGCGACCGACATCAAGAGTTTGATCTGGACCACATGATGCATTACTTTGTCGATCACCTTGATGAATTGCAGCATCGCATTGACGGATTGTCTTTTGGTCGGTTTACAAAACCCTCGGCATTTGCCCTCTTTTTTCGCCGCTACTGCGACGACCGACACGAAGACGCAAACTGGACACCGCCAACAAAGAAAGCGGTACATACTCGCTGCTGGGTATCGGGACGCTATTGAAACGCCCAAACTCTTCAAGATCAAGTTCACTGGGTTGACGTTGGGGCATCAGATGGGTGGGCGTGAATTGTTGAGGCACTCATCTTGATTATTCATCCTCTAATCCCAGGCTAGAAAATTGTTTTGCGACGTGCGCAGCACATACAGCAAATATTATCGGCCTGTGCATGCCTTCCTTACCTCATCTGGCCAGTAAGTCTCGACAGACGCAACCAATGCATTTGCGGTCATGGCGTTACGTACCACATCAATGACAACCTGTTGGCGCGGTCAGGGCAACCTTCTCACAAGATGATAACCTCTTGGAATGGACCGTGGAGCGTTTGGTCGAGAAGGGGCTCTCCAATGACGGTAATGCACCTGGTGACTGTCACGGTGCTCTGCTCCGCCAGTCTTGTCTTGTTGCCCCTCATCTGCGCCCCCGCTTCGCCTGCTGTGCCTGGACCTGGGAAACGTGTTTTGTTGAGACGTTTGCCAACAAATTTTGAGGTCAGGAAAACCAAGCATTAAGCCCGCAAAAGAGCTCGAGAATCTTCTGGCCCTTCTCCCAGACTACAAAGCGTACTGGGATCCAAACGCAATGAAGCAACGTCTACGCAACATGGTACCCGCACGTCAGGAAGCAGTCATTCAGGATCTAGTCAAACGACTCTCATCCCTCATCAAGCAGACCAGGGGTGGTCGTGGGCTCGTCAGTTTTTGCGTATACGAGCGTTTGCATCCTATCTGGGGTAAGTGAATGCCTGTTTGGGTCTTCTGTGCTCTCGCTCATTCATGCGTTTTGCGGGATATGACCATGGCTTGCATTGTCTCACGAACGATCTCTGGGAAATAGCTGGAGGTCTACCAACAATGAATGAAGTGGCTCGAAGCAATCAACCCATCACGGTTAGTGGCTGCGCAGGCTATGTAATATCGTTGCCACCTCATGCAAGCGTGCGCAGGTTGAACATATCACGAGTTCGATGGATGCACGTCGACGACGTGAGCGCAGAGCCAGGGCCACGGCCAGCAACAGTCATGATCGCCCAGGTCCGTATTCCGAGTGTCCCTACACCACTGCGGATAAGCGGTCTCACCGCCTACTTGATTGCCATGATAGCACGGGAAGATGCCGCTGCCGCCATCATAGAGTACCTGCAACAAAGGTTCGTGACGTGCCCATTACCTTCTGTTGCGCCATTTTTACGCTGATTCACACAAACGGCGCATATGTTCGCAGAGATGTTCGTGAGGCGGTCATTCAAATTGAGGAACAGCAGCGCCACCGCCTTACAACGCAAATTCAACTTGCTCGATGTAACCCCGAAGATCCTGCTCGTCCCTTTCTGGAAGAAATGCTAGCAAATTCAAATAGAGTCATTCCTTTTCTGCAAGAGCAGCTTGCAGTGGCCCAAAACAGTCATGGCTCATCTTAAACTCCTTCGAACGGAGAAGAAACACCGGCTCCGTGTCCCCAGCTTAATGAGCTCTCAGATGTTCGTTACAGCAATCGAATGCAATCGCATGCCGTCACTTCATCCATCCCTCGGCACAAACATTCCAGCTGGGCTCAGGCCTCTGTCCGTACAAGCAAGCGCAGCCTGTTCCGCGGCTCCGTTAAGGGCTGTATCTGCTTAGCCTGGCAAGGTATTGATGATGAACAGCCGAGGCAACACTCTCTCGCGCAGCATTGCCCGCCACGCTCTCGATTTCCGCAGGGCTATACCGAGTGGAAGGCAAGTTCGCGTCAAAGTCAGAATACACATGTTTGATGCATGATTGGCCGAGGAAGTCGAGGCTTCCTCATTCAAGGACGCCTTTATGTCTTGCATTTTGTCTTGATTCTACCTCAGTCGCAAGTTGTGGAGGTACAGGTAACTCACAGTGACCAGCCGTAACAACATCTACTGTGCCTTCAATGCCACTCTTCAAAATGCAGAAGCGGGCCTTGCCTGGCCTTTCGTCAACGGCTGATGACCAGCTTGCCTTATGCAGGCCAAAGCCGCATTCAGCTGCTCGCACGCACATCGAAGAATGCATCATATGTTGTAGACCTCCTGGCATCCAAAAGTCCATGAGTCCTTGAGGGCAGCGGCTGCGCTCACATGTGTAAAGCATTCGCAGAAAACGACCTTCGGCTTCTTTGGTTTGTGGCCCGGGTCCACCCCACGTGTCCTTCCCGCTCGACTCAAAATGAGCTAGAGTGCACAATCTAGGTGCAACAAACTATGATACGAAACGAACCGTAGGTGGTAGTGAACGCCGCGATATGGGGTTAAAACCTGGGCACTGGCCCCGAATCCTGCATCGCCAAGACCTAGATGAGCCGTCGTTTTAGCTCGACATATGCAAACAGGTAGATCAACGCGTGCAGACACAGTGTATAAAGGTAAGCAAGGTTCAAAGTGCATACAGTAAACGCCCATGGGCATTTTGAATAGCACCTCTGGGAATCTATTGAGTACCGCAGAGTCGGTCATGGCACCGGGGCTCATTGCGATAAAATGCCGAATTCTCAGCTTGCAATCAAATACCACAGGGATATTTTGGGCCATGCATCCTTTTCGATACCGCCAGGCATCTCGCTCCTCCTGCGGAACTTGGTGCAGAACAAACCGTGACAGAGTTCCGTCCATGAAAAGAACCGCATGTTCCAGGCCTGGCCTTGTAAAGGGCAGAGTTTTAGTATGGAGTGCACGCCATTCGTGTCCATGTGCCAGCAATCGGCAAGGGCAAAGCAGACGTCTGAAATCCCAACGGGCAAGTAACGACATTTAGCATACCAGCTACTGCTATACATAATTTAGCTGCTGTGCCGCAGCTATTACACTGCCCCCACAAGCAACATCACGCATCAAATGCTTTGCTCTGAATCTCCAGGTTTTCCTTGTACACTTGTGTTTCCTCGACAGCCTCCCATAGCTGATTGAAGCCAACTTTTGTGAGCCTCTAAAAATTGTGCAAGGCCCCGTCACTATAGACAGCACTCAGATGTCATTGCAAGTCTGTAAGTGGCTGCCTGATCCTGAAGAGCCCGTTTAGGAATCGGTGCGACTGTAAAACTCAGCGGCAACACATGAGTAAGATGATGCCAAGTGGGCTAATTTAATGTAGAGAGCAAATGCACATTGGGTTTGTTGTTGCGACGGCAGGCATGAACCCGCTTCTTCAGTTCCAAGTTGGAACAAGAGCTTCTTTGACATTTTGGTATCATCTCTGTGAGGATGACTCATAATCATAGCGAGCCCATCATGCTCTGTGCACACCATGACTTGGAGATTAGAGCTGCTCGTGTCTATCGTATTCATGGCATTTCAATTGCACGACAGTCACCCAAGCGGAAAAGTCTGAACGTTATAGTAGACGACCAGCTCGGGGTATATTTGAGCATTGTCGAAAATCACAACTTCATGGGTTTCGCCAGGCGGTGTAGCAATGACCGAGTCATACCTACAGAAACAAGGAATGGGTGAGACAGAAAAACGCGGAGCATGAGCTTCTAGATATTCGAGCTCCAAGTCATCGCACCGTTCGTTGTTGGGCGCATTGGGTAAGAGTGGAGGGGCCAACGCTCCAGGAGGAGGTGAGTAATTAACAAAGGCATGCCCCAGCAGTGCTCGCGTGATGATGAGCATGTGTTCGCCGTTGGGTTCAGGCTGAGAATATTGATGACTCTATCAGTCACGTGGCATGCATCGTGTTAGCAGCAGCAGCTTTTGGATAAACAAGTCACAATTGCAAGCCGTACTTTGCCGGGATGGTCGGCTGCGTAAACACCAAGACCAAATCGGTGGCCCGCGCTGCTGCCGGCAAAGCGATAGTCGAGGCCCAGGCGCACAATCTTGTCGCGCAACAACTTGTCGTGGGGGATGCCGTGAAACAGCAGCCGTTCTTGGCAGCATGTATCACGAAGCAAGGCGGGACAGCCTGAGAGCTCATCAACCTTGGCCGTTAAAAGCCCATCATAGTGCTCCTGACTTGTGGTGCAATGCAACATCTCCCGCCGCTTTGCACTGTAACGTTCCCACAACACGGGATTTTGCACGCGCTCTACCCGCTGCACGGCGATGTTGGGTAGCCCTTGCTCGTCAGTACTCAGCTGCTTCAAAAGGTCGGCCACCTAGGTGCACAGTAACCTCAAATCAGCCTGCTTGGCAAAACGTGCACTGCATCACCTGGTAACGCACCTCTGAAATGAGCTCAGGTGCGTTGCGCAAAACGTCAATGGCGGGGCCAACTTGGACGCCTCCAGGTCGCTGCGCATTCTGCGCGGCGCCGAGTAGACTCGGCCTTTGCTTCGGATCTGTTGCGAGCAGGGCTCGCGTTTCCTTGTACAAATCGCTTGTTGAATCACACATCTGCACCGGAACATGGATGTGAAAAATAACAACAACAAAAGCACGTTCATAGAAGAGAAAAGGCAAGCTTCCCGAAGCTGAGCCTTGGCCGGTCTAGCCAAGACTGCATCACTGACCTCAGCCGCTAGATGAGGAAAATTGCAAGCGGCATCTCCTGTTGGCATGGTCCAGTGGCATTGCTCCGCTACCTCACTCACCCATGGGTTTGCAGGTGAAATTTTTGCAGGCGGTACCGTTAGTGGGTACATGTAGGTGTTGTAGAGAACACAGCCAAAGGAAAAGGCATCTTGCGCTGGACGTGCGCCCACACGCCCCCCACCAAAAAGCACCTCAGGTGGCACATATCCTGCTGTGCCCGACGAGCTTGTGGCCGTACAAGGCAACATCGTGGTTTCGGCGGCGGCCTTGGCAATGTCAAAATCGCCGAGCCGCACAACAGGCTGATCCTGGTCACCATCCAACATGACGTTGCTCAGTTTGACATCCCGGTGCACCAGGCCCTTGCTGTGCATAAAAGCCAGAGCCGTGCGTAGCTGTGCCATGAGCCCAGCAATCACCTCCGAAGTAGCCAGTTGACGCGCTTCGCCGAGCCACTGTTGCAGATCCCCTTGCGTACACCATGGCTGCACCAGGTAAGCACTCGGTTGGCCATCTTTCACATCCACAAGAGCCCCGAGGACAGGAATGATATGTGGATGCTCAAGCTTGCGCATGGCGCGAAGTTCGCGGAGAAATGTCCGGCACCGATCCTTCTTTTGCTGACAAGCAAAAGCATACTCCTTCACAGCCAAATCTTGCTCGGGGTGATTTGGTAGCGCGGCGCGGGCCTTGTAGACCTTGTGGTTTTGGTTGTAATGAAGGTTGAGATGTCCCAAGGTAGAGAGCGACAATGCCCGGTCCACTTCGGTCATGGCCTCCAAGATAAGACTGGCCGGAAGGTCGGGGCCAAGCACTGTGCGGAGCCGCGCTCCCAGCGCGCTCTGCTCAGGGCGCAAAAAGACCAGCAGAGCTGGGAAGTGACGATACAGTAGCCCTGCCAATGCCGCCACCTGGTCGACCTGTGTTTGATCTGATAGTTGTTGCTGCAAAATGACCAGACGCTCCTTCATCTTTTGCAATCGATCCTCAAGGCCAGCTCGCATCTCATCTGAAGCCAAAGGCAAGAATGCCGTGGTTGCCTGGATGTTCTCCTGCAGCTCGACCACTTCTTCGTGGATAGATACGACTTGATCCGCACTGTTCTGCGAGATTCCATCAGCATATATTTTGCACGAGGTCAGCACGGACAGCGTTGTGGCCTGCCAGTCGATCATGTCCTGAAGCTGCTGCACCAGAGCTTGCGACTCGTGCAACACAAACGCCAAATACCAATCATGATGCTCAGGATTATGCTCTGCTCTCCAGTTTCTGAGCTCCTTGAGGCCATTCAGCTCGGACAAGCTCAGCCTTTTGTGAGCCTGGCGCAACTGCTCCCATGAATTGGGCAACGTCTCGGCCGGAGGCGGTGCCCTCACATCCAAGCATTCAACGCTTTGCCGCAGCGTGTTGACACGATGAATCGTATCGTTGGTACCCGCTCCTGCTACGGCATCCAGTGCGTCGATTAAACCCAGCATCAGGTGCTTGAGGTTGGTGTTGGTGGTGATGAGCAGGTTTCGCCGCCTGGGTCCTATGTCGTGCAGCTCGGCAAACTTGTCCAGTGCTGCCTTAAGGTCCTTGGGTGGCGCCTCGGGTACGGTTGCGGGTGTGGTGGGTGGAACGGGGCACACTGCCAATTTAGCCTGGAGCTCGAGAAGAATTGGTTGCAGCTCAAATCGCCCTGCAATGTCTTGTAGCTCTTGAAGCACTGAGCCCAGGGTCTTTTCATCTGGGTTCAGCTGGCCCAAGTAGTTGTTCAACGCTTCGGGCGCTTCAAGCGCCTGGTCGAGGGCGCCGAGGGCTTGTGTGGTAATATTCTCGAAGGCGGGCCAGTCTATCGCGGGAAATTCTGGTGGGGCTTCATCCATAGTCTTCTGTATATCATCGACTGTCGTCGCAAGCTCCGGGTCATGATTGATGGCGCCATTGATAAAGGCCTTGAGGTGCGGGAGGGGATGGTCGCTGTTGCGCCCGGGCAGGAGAGGCTTGAGCCAAGTGTCCACCGCCGCAACAACAGAGGCTGTGGTCTAGTGGGGTGTTTTGCGCGAGAAATAAATGTCAGTTGTGATAAAGTTGGATGAGTATGTGGCGACGAGAGGGAAGCGCGTTTGGAGAAAGCAAAAGAGGAGAAGGCTCACCTCGAGGGTGGGCGTGTGGCTGGGCAGGGGTGGCAGCCAGGCGGAGGGTGGTGCAGGCGCAGCGGGTGCGAGAGGCTCGAGTTGGTGTACGAGGGGCTCGAGTTGGTGTGCGAGGGGCTCAAATGGCTGTGCGAGGTGAGCCTCGTGGGCAGCAAACACGGGTTCCAGGCATTCACCATGATCGCATCGACGTCCTGATTCAAGGGGCGTTTCGCCAGCCTGAGAAGTCCACAGACAAAAGATCGGAACGTGTGAGGTGGGTAACCAGGTGCAGTTGAAGTTGGGCACGCGTGAGGGACAGGTGAAGCCCCGGAATTCGAGTCAAAATATCATGAAGGATTGCGGTGAAAAGGCGAGAACGGCAGGTGGACGGTGCAGGAACAGGGAAGGGAGTGTTGGCACAAAAGAGGAACAGGAGCAAGAAACTAAATAGGCATGCAAGGTGGACAGGGTGGAGAGGAGAGAGACGGCCAGAGACGACGAACAGCAGGAACGGGAGCAGGAGCCAGAGGAAAAGGAGGAGGAAGCTACTGACGTTGTTCCTGGCGTTAACATCAACGCCACGCGTCAGCAAAAGATCCGCTACCTCCGCATTTCCATTGAGGCAGGCGCTGTGCAGTGGTGTATGGCCATACTGTGGAATGATGCATCGACATGTGATGGTAATGAAAAGAAATTAAACATTACAGCTGATGGGCCAGATTGACAGCGGGATAGCGGGGGAGGGGGAGGGGGGAGGGGGAAAGAGGGACTGACTCTGTGCCTTGCTTCAGTACCAACGCCGTAATCCAGCAGCACTTGCACCGCGTCTTTATGCCCCTCTTGGCAGGCAATGTGCAGTGGAGTACTGCCATTCTGTGGGTTGATCAACATTGCGAATAACATGAACTCTTCATAATCCACTCAACATGGCAGTTGGTGAACGACAAGACTGGGAGGGAAGAGGGAAATACTGACAATGTTCTGGGCTTCAGCATCAACACGGTGCTTTAGCAACATCTCCACTACCCCCACCAGGCCGCGATGGCAGGCGTGGTGCAGTGGCGTGTCGCCATCCTATAGGATGGATGATGCAGCATCACGAGTCATCATCACGTGGTAGAATTGTGCCATCACAGCGAGGCCAGTAGAAAAAGAGGGAAGCACTGACCTCGTCCGCGGTCGTGGCATCAACGTGGTTCTTCAACAGCATCCTTACCACATCCATGTGACCGTTTAGGCAGGCATGATGCAGCGGCGTATACCCACACTGTCGTTTGAATGATGCATATTACCGCCCATATCAGCAAAAGGAATACAAAGTGTATCCAATGGCACATCCAACTGATATACGTACCCCATCTCGATAGGCGGCAGCATCTCGAATCCGTTGGCCGGTCCAGCTGTTCAGCAGCTGTAGTGCCTCTTGTGCATCGCTTTGAATGCACGCGTTGTACAGCTGTGTTTCATCTCTTTCATTCATGGCGACGTTGTCCCTACACCGACGAACACGGACATTATGTCTGACAATCCGTCGAATTGTGCTATGGTGTCGAACTCGGACTCGGGAGATCTTGGGTGTCGATCTCAGTGGGTGATCAAAACAAAGTTCTGTGGAGCTCGTACCTGGGAGTGACTGTCTGTCTGTTGTGATTGGCTTGGAGCTCGTTCTGGGAGTGGCTGACCGTCTGTTGTGCTTGGCTTGGAGAAACAAACTCTTCCCACTGATCCTTCCTCTTGGCGCGTCGCTAATGGCCAGTGCAAGAGAAGGTGAGTGCGATCTCACGTCGATCGCAGCTGTGCCACTGGGTGGCCAACCACGATCGGTGTGATGGACAGACATGGAGGCAGCACAATTCCAGCAAAGCAAAGAGACCGCCTGTGCATTTACTGACTGAGAAGCAATCGCCAGAGATACACCATCAAACAGAGTAGCAAGCAGTCGCTCGAAGAGAAGAAAAATGCCACGAAAGAGCAGGGGCCACAAACACGAAAGGGTGTTCGAGACAAACCCCACTGTCAAGATCTCCACAAGCAAAACCACATAGCAAGCGACTCCGATCGTGTGGCTGGAACCCTACCCGCTATTCGCCATTCGTAAACAAAAACAAGACAAGCCAGTGAGTAAGATGGAAGAGGTGGATTCAACGCAGCACCTTCCGAGGCCCTGAGCGACGAGGAGAAGGGTGGAAGCAGGAGAGGGACGAGATCGCCGAGAGAGTCTTTGCACAAACCTGGCTGGAGAAAAGAAGGGAGACGTTTGGCGCATGCGTATTGTTACACACACCATGACACAAGCAGAAGGATCGGCATGCTGCTTGTATCTTCAATGTCAGTACGTTGGGAAAAAGAAAGACATTTACGAACAGAGAGAAAAAAGGATTTTATTTACATGTTAGCTATGGAGAATTCAATTCGTAGATGCGATCACAGCCTTAGGGCTCACTGAGCAACGCCTGTTGCCTGTTGATCTTGCAGTGGGAACCGACGCGCTGATGACTAAGAGTACCCTGGCCTCAGCGCATATCCCTCACGCGCTTCCCGCACAGATTGTAACAAAGTGATACTTCCCGAATTGCTGACACTCTCCACTTGTATGTCAAGCCCGCGGGTAGACTCTCGCAGGTTGGGGGGATCCACCACATGACGCTCGCTGCTCTCGAAATGGGTCTGCCACATGCTAATCGCCTCTGGCAACACATCAAACCAGCACATCGACTGGAAAGCGGGTGCTCTCACAACAGAAAAAAAAAAATGAAACGCAGCAAAGCGGCGACCAGGCGAAGATCCGCAAGGCTCACAGATAAAGCGCTGCTTGCCCAATAACGCCTCGATCCTATGCCCTCAGACACACTGCCGTTAATACAAGGCAGTACATGCACGTGTGGCATCGTTGATATGGGATGCCCCGGCTCCTCCATCTCCGTGAAAATCTCCAACATCCTTGAAAAGTATTTTACTTTTGTCGACTGAAACATGAAAAATCCCTCTTCTCTCTCTCTCTCTCTCTCTCTCTCTCTCTCTCTCTCATATTTACTTGAAGGATCAATTGGCGACACAAAGTCGCATATTTCCTGCATCTTCTCTGCTTTTTTAACGTTATGGTCTTATGACGATCTGCAACTTGTTGTATTTTTATCTTTGAAAATATTTTTTAAACGCGCGACCCGAGCCCGTCCGCGATCCGCCGCCGCGATCTGTTCCGTCGGATCTGCTGGTCCTTGAACAAGTTCAAGTCGCACGTTGGTTGGTTACCTGGATGATTGGTGAGGAGGCTTGTTGCTTAGTCTGACCGAGACCATGGCTGCACCTGGAACCGCTACCGCAACGACCACAACGACGACTGCTCAGTTCAACTTTGGTGGTGGTAAGTCAAGTCCCGATGACCTCCTCGCTGCCCGCTCTGAACGAACGAGGGAATGAGATGAGCAGCAGTGTGTCTCTCCGAACAAAACACACCTTGTCGGGGGCCTAGACCCCCGTATTCACACATACTTTGGGGGAGGCTGCCGGGCGGGGGGCAGAAATCATCTTTTTTGGCGCTCTCCCTTTTTTTTTTTCTTTTTTTTTCCTCCCTTGGTGATTGACTCACGTCGACCCCTTGCCCTTTCCGCCCGCCGGATGTTTCACCTGGCTCTGCCTGATTACGTGGACATGGCCAATCCATTTGATGGGGGCGTATATGGATGCATCCATCCTAACGTGTCGTCTGGTCATGGATAACCCTGCCGCTGCATGTGCATTAGCGTTGCTCGAGAATCCTCACAAGAAACAGGTCAGTGTCGCCGCTCAGCCAGGCGATTGCTAACGCGGACGGGGCCTTTTGCACTCACATGATCACTTTTTGTGTAGCTCATTGAACGCGTCGAGCACTTGGAGGATGAAAACAAGCGTTTGCGCGATGGTAAGTGTACCGTTTTTCCGCTGTGCTCGTGCAAAGGCTGGCGTGCCCTTTTTAGCCTTGACCCGATGGCATTGGTGCTCACGGCACGCATGCGCACAGCGGTCAAGCTGCTTCAGGAACAAGTCAAGTTGATGAAAACCAGCCTGAGGATAGCAGATGCCGACCAGTCTTCCGAATCTCAAGAAGCCAAAGAGCAGGCAGACGAGGCCAAAGAGGGCGCCAAAGAGGACGCCAAGGAGGACGCCAAGGACGCTAAGGACGCTCAGGAAGGCGAGGCAAAGGAAAGCGCCTGAGAAAAGACCTCGATTCATCAACCCTCTTTGCTTCGTCTCGTCAATGCGCCGCGTCATGCATGACCCCGATTGTTTATTTGTTTCTCCATGACCCAATTCCCCGATTGGCAAGCGTCTGGCTTCAATCTCAAAGAAGCTTGGTGTCCAATTCTCCTTGCGACCTGACTCGGCGTATAATCCCATTATGCTTTCTTGGCTTGACATCACCCGACGGGAAGCGATCAGAGAGTTGGAATTTGTGCGCCAATACACCCAGTGAATACATCCTAATGGATTCCAAAGACGCCCGGCCACCAAGGAACCGGACATGATCCAAAGCAAGAACAGAAATGGGCAAGAATTAAGAAAAAAAAAAAAAACAACTAAAACAAGGAAACAATAGCCCGGCCTGCGCACCCGTATTAACAAGATGAAGAGGCCTGGACGCCCATAAATGACATTAACACACAAGACCAAAGAATGCACACGTTTTCTCGGACGCGCATGTGCTTGTGCCAGTCAATCTGGTGAAGCAAGTTCAAAAGATTCAAAAAACGGCGGCTTGCACAAGGGTGCGATCTAGGAATTGGTAACCTCGAGCATGTCACATTGCTAACAGAATGCTTAAAACGGAGGCGGTGCCTGCGTGACAAAAAGGAAGAACCACCACGGTTAGAAAAAACAGGTGGGCGCCATGAAGGTAGCGCGCAAATACAACGTCAAGAAAGGTGGTCGTGAGCACGGCTCACTTACCGGCTGGGCAGCCGGAGGAATGCTATAGGCCTGGCTGTCCTTGTCACCGACGGCGGGTGATGATCCCTGGTAACCACCGGTGCTGTCCTGAGGCTCCACCTGAGATGTGAGCCAAGCAGCCATGCGTTGAGCTCGGCACAACGGATAAAAGGGAACACCGAAATAAAACTGGTCGTACGCTGTAGCCCGGCACGGCCGAGGCGTTGCCGTGGTAGGGCTCGGCATGGTCCTCGACTGAGGCGTAAGCGGTCTCCCCACGCACTGCGGGTGAGCGTGGCGGCAGGCGGGATGAGGGAAGGGACGACTCGGCTGCTTTGTGTGACAAGCGAGGGCGAGACGTACGGGTGGTCATGACATCACCACCGCGTTGACGAAACTCGAGGTAGGTGACGTAGGCGGTGAAAGGCTTGATAATAAAGTTGATGATGGTCATGGCCAGGGCAAATTTGGTGGTGTCAATGTACTTTTGCTTGAGCCCCGAGTTGGAGTGCTTGAGGGTTGCGCGACCATGAGCGTACACGCCCAGGGTCTGGATGACAAGATGCGTGAAAGAGGGCGGAAAGAAAGTTTCGTGAGTCAAGGCAGAAAGGCACGGGAAAGAAGGGGAGAATGGGCTGCAGGCTGCGGCGTACAATGATATCAATCAGAATGGAAGCGGAGAGAAGGACAAGGGCCGTCAGGACCGGCTCGGGCTTGGGCTGACATTCAAATTCAAATACAACAGATGCCAGGGGCAGGAGCGTTGATGAGATTGGTTCGATCCAACGGTGGCACCGAGCACCGAGAAGAGGAGCCGTGTGTGGAGAAAAACGGACGGACGGCCGAACCTCGAGATAATAGGCGACGAGGAGAAGGGCAAAAACGATGGCGTTGTAGCCATAATTGCCGTCAACGTTGGCAAAGAGGCTGATGCCCTGTGATGTGCAAGGGGATGTACCGTAAGAGACATGCCGGCAGAGGCCGTGAGCACGACAGTGCCAACGGGCATACACACTGATTCTGAGCAGCAGGAAGCGAAGCTCGGGAGCCCAGTCGTACCAGCTGAATGACCACGGGCAGAAACATGCCCAAGGGGTTGATCTTGAACGCCATTTTTGTTGCTTTCACAATCCCTACGCCAACGTGTTGCGCGCACCGCCCATCATGAGGTCGCACGATCCAGCTGCCTTCACTCGATCGCACATGCAAGGGCCACTATACACACACACACACACACACACACACACACACACACACACACACACACACACACACGACACCAAACACCAAGTTCCCTTTGCACAAGACACCTCTCCCACCCAAACGCCCCGCTACCAATGCCAATGCCAATGCCGATGCCGATGCCGATGCCGATGGCACAGACCACCAGGGCGCTGCCACTAGACACTAGACGTCATGTACACACGCACATGTACAGAGCAAGCAAAGCAGCAGTTACCTTTCTCTCTCTTGAAGAACAACGGAAAATGTGCTTACGTATGTGTGTGTGTGTGTGTGTGTGTGTGTGTGCCTCTTATCTCTCTCTCTAAACTCTCTCTCTCTCTTAAATCTCTAACTCTCTCTCTCTCTAACTCTCTCTCTCTCAATCATAACTCTCTCTCTCTAAATCTCTAACTCTCTCTCTCTCTCTCTAAACTCATCTCTTCTCTCTTGATGGCGCTCGTCTGTTTCATCCCGCTCTCGCTTCTTTCTCCGTTCCTCTCTCGCTTCTTTCTCGTCTTTCCGCTTCTCGCTCTGTCGGATGGCGGTCAAGGTGGCCGACCACTTGTGTCATCAATGGGATGGATCGCAGGCAGCGCCGTGGAGGGATTCCTCTTTTTTCGGGGTCGGTATGTTGGAAGGGCTCAACGGTCAGGCACATGTAGCCAGGGTCAGTACGAGACATGTAACTCGCAGGCATTTGGGGAGGGGGGGGGGGTTCAATTAGAAGAGGGCTTCTTTTTTCTGTTTTTTTTTTCCCTTTGCTTTTGTGCTGCTTTGGCTTGCACCGGCGAGCAAGGAGCAAACGGCCAGAAAACAAGGGGGGACGAGAAGGATCATCTACTCCTTCTCGAATTGCCATTTGCCGCGGTTCGTAAAGCTGGTCATGCCCTTGCCGCCAATACCACACGTTCCCACGCCCACCTGTAGAAGCGACAAGGCACAGGAAAGGGCCAGTGAGATCAATCCAGCTGGCCAGGTGTACACACATCCCCAAACTGTGCATACCTTGCCATCGTAGCTGTCCGGGGTCTTGAATATACTTTGGCCATGCTTGCCTGATCCACCAACACCCGAAGCTTTCTTCTTAGACTACACCGAGACGCGATACGAGAGGCATGAGCGAGGAATGAAACCTGGGCTGCTCATGCGAATCAATGTGATGCTCCAATGGCGAGCTAGGATCAAAGCACCAACCTTTTTGGCAAAGTTCTTCCACGAGTTGGCCTTGTCATTGTAGGCCTTTTCCAGTTCGGTTTCTTTGGCACGGCGCTTGGCCTCGTGCTTCTTGCGTTCCTCGTACGACTTTTTCTTCTTCTTGAGGGGCTCACTGCTGGCCGTGACTGGTGCATCGCCTGCTGCCCCCGTGCTGACCTTGCTCTTGGGTCCCGTCTTGGCCGAGGGTCCCGAACCAGCCCCGCCCAGCGGCCGCAGCGATGCCAGCTATTATAATAATGCATGGCACACAAAAACACACAGCGTCAGGCCCCCTGCCAATCAGCAGGTGGCATAACTCGCACAAAATACGACAAAAAAAAAATACCTTGACTTCATCAGAGTCTTCGTACTCGGGGAAGGTCACCATGGCTCGCAAGCCATCATCTGTAAAGGCCGTGATCACAGCCTTGTAGTATTTACCTGTCAACGCAAAACGATGAGCCAGAGTGAATGCCTTGCAAGAGGACGCAGAGCATTCAAGCACCCCAATCGCCAGGCCCAACCACCTCTCCAAGGCCACGCACCATCATCACTCCAAACAGCCTCGCACTCTTGACCAACAGTCCAGCCATCAACGGTCTTGGGCTTGGCGCCATCGGCACCCGAAGCATCGCCATCTGCAGGAGCGGTGACGCCCGCCACTTGTGACTGCAACGCAATTAATTGCTGTGTTCGACAAACAAACAAAAAAAGGGGGAGTTGTTGCCGACCCATAACAGCGGTGAGCTGAGCGGGACACTGATGCGGGTAGGCTCAAGCAGACCAAGTCGGCGGTGCGCCTCTGACCTTGATGTTGCTCGCCAACGCCTGGTACTCGGCATTGTCTGGCTCAGCCAGTATCAACGCCTCCACCTACAATAAAAGAGCCAACCAGGTAAAACCACCGTCAGAAGCGTCGAGGATGCCGTCTGCCAGAACGATCGTGCGCGTCTCAATGTGCTCGTGAGTTTGACTGTGTCAATGAATGTATCGAGGGGCAAGAGCCGGCCAGCTCGAATATAGGTGCAATGTGATCAATATGCGCCACAGAACAGGTCGTGTCCAGGCCTGCCACGGCCAGAGCAGGGCACAGGGGAAGGGAGTCGCGAATTCGCACCTGCGCGAGCTGCGCGCGCATCTCTGCCAGCTCGGCCGCCATTTTCTTGGTTTAAAGCAAACTGCTTGTAAGCAAATAACTAAAACATCTGACAACAGCCGTGTTTTCAGTCCTGGTCCAACATGATTGTACTATGTAAATTTACTATAATTTTACACGTAGAAATGACTTTTAAACCATAGACATTCCCCCAGAGTCTGACAACGGATTGCGCTCTGGTAGCAGGTGCAGTGAGTTGAGCTGATGCGCCCGTGACGTGGCACCCGACAACACCATATGGCAGCCCCGCGCCGGGTCGAGCCAGCAGTGTGCAAGCAGACCAAGTCTGCGTGTGCGTGCGTGCGTGTGTGCAAAAGATACTGAAAAAAAAACGCTCAATTCCCAGCAAGCTTCTCAAAGCGGCCGCGTCGTCGCCGTGAGCCATAGATGTCATAACAGAGAGAGAGACACACACACACACACAGACGCCAAACTAGGAAGCGACGAGGCCTCCGAAGGCAGAGAGACTGCTCTAGACCAAAACCGTTGTAATGTAATTTTCAAGCCAATTCAGAGAGTGTGTCAGTGAACAGATGTGTTGCTGTGGGGTCTTTTGTTGTCTTTCTTTGCGAGAAGCCCATGCCAACCAGGCGACTCTCTGACATAGTTGGCCCCAACGCCACTATCCCTGCCCGCGTCATCTTTTCCCCGCTTGTCTCTGCATTCGGCTTTGTTTCAAGCTTATCAAAAACTCTCTGTGACGGCTCATCTCTCGCCAAATACACGTCAGCTCACACACTCTCTAGCTTGCCGTCATCCTCCACTTGCTTTCTCTGTATTTTCTTTCCATTGCAGAGTGAGTGTTCAGTGAACAGGGACCATTGGCGCAAACGGCCAAGTCCCCGAATGGCAGTCGCTCTTGGCGCCTTTGGCGGGGTATTCGAGGACTATTGCATTTGTGGAACGACGCATGGCTCATCCTTTAACTGTCTTGCCACGCATCCTCTACTTGTTGATCATAGCGCTCTTGCTCTTAAAGCCCCCTTGTTGCCTTTTTTTTGACCTCTTCGGGCTGTGTTTTGACGGTACGTCCTCCAGTCAGCGGGCTGCCGCTGCCTCGCCCATGCCCGTCGCGTCTGTTCTTGGACAGCTGCCAGCCGTGCTGCAGGACCTAGTTATTAGGGATGAATGTTGGGTTTGGGGAAGCTCTTTGAAGTCAGCTGCCCGGGTCCATCCTCTCACCACCTTATGCTGGTTTCCGTTGGACCACGCAGCCAAGCCGCGTGCCAAGCCTGTACTCGGCGCCTTTTTGGTTCCGTCTCGACCCCTGCGGCAGCGCGGTCGTCCTTTGCATTGACACGACCCCACACACATACCGTCAACCATGGCGTAAGTACCTCCATGCCTCCTACAGCCCCCCACTCTTCCCTTGCCCCTCATGGCGCGGACCAAGCATCCCAAATGCCACGACACTTTTGTGTGTGGCTATAATGCACATGATCTTCGTCTCTATCCGACCATCCGCTTCGCTTCAAGCTCACTCAATCCCATCTGCTCTCCTGCTGCAGGAGCAACGATGACACAGCCACGGCCATCCTTCGCAAGAAGGACAAGCCCAACCGCCTCATTGTTGAGGACTCACCCAACGATGACAACTCGGTCATTGGCCTCAACCAAGATAAGATGGACGAGCTTGACCTTTACCGCGGTGACACGGCCCTTATCAAGGGCAAGCGCAAAAAAGACACGGTCAGTTGTTCCCAGCACCACTGCACTGCTTTAACGATGATGGCCTGCCCCGCTCACCCAGGAGCCTGGCTTCGTGCATCGCCTTTCATCTTGTAGGTTTGCATCGTGTTGGCCGATGAGGATTGCCCCCTCGAGAAGATTCGCATGAATAAGGTGGTCCGCAACAACCTGCGCGTGCGTCTTGGCGACGTTGTCACGATCCATCAGTGCCCAGACATCCCCTACGGCAAGCGCATCCACGTGTTGCCCATTGACGATACGGTCGAGGGCCTGACCGGCAACCTCTTTGATGTCTATCTGAAGCCTTACTTCCTCGAGGCTTACCGCCCCGTGCGCAAGGGTGAGTCAAAAGTCCTCCGCCATCACCAGCTAACCGCCACCATACCCTCGTGTGCGAATCAAAGCAACACATGCCCTTATCCATCCCAGCTCACTGGTTTCTCGGTCTCATTCGTGGGTGGGTAGGCGACTTGTTCCTGGCACGCGGTGGCATGCGCGGGGTTGAGTTTAAGGTGGTGGACACGGATCCCGAACCCTACTGCGTGGTTGCTCCCGACACCGTCATTCACTGTGAAGGTGAGCCCATCCGCCGCGAGGACGAGGAAGCCAACCTCAACGAGGTGGGCTATGATGACATTGGTGGCTGCGCCAAGCAGCTGGCTCAGATCAAGGAGATGGTCGAGCTCCCCCTGCGCCATCCCCAGCTGTTCAAGGCCATTGGCGTCAAGCCGCCCCGCGGCATTCTCCTGTATGGTCCTCCCGGTACCGGCAAGACCATGATCGCCCGTGCCGTGGCCAACGAGACCGGCGCCTTCTTCTTCCTCATCAACGGTCCCGAAATCATGAGCAAGATGGCCGGTGAATCAGAGTCCAACCTGCGCAAGGCCTTTGAGGAAGCGGAGAAGAACTCGCCCGCCATCATCTTCATTGACGAGATTGATGCCATCGCCCCCAAGCGTGAGAAGACCAACGGCGAAGTCGAGCGACGCATCGTCTCCCAGCTCCTCACCCTCATGGATGGCCTGAAGCAGCGCGCCCACGTCATTGTCATGGGTGCCACCAACCGTCCCAACAGCATTGACCCGGCCCTGCGCCGCTTTGGTCGCTTCGATCGCGAGCTGGATATCGGTATCCCCGATGCCACGGGCCGCCTCGAGATCCTCCGCATTCACACCAAGAACATGAAGCTGGCTGATGATGTGGACCTTGAGAAGATTGCCAACGAGACCCACGGCTATGTCGGTGCCGATCTTGCAGCCCTCTGCTCCGAGGCCGCTCTGCAGCAAATTCGCGAGCGCATGGACCTCATCGACCTCGAGGAGGACAACATTGACGCCGAGGTCCTCGACCTGCTCGCCGTTACCAACGATAACTTCCGCTTTGCCCTCGGCTCCTCCAACCCTTCAGCGCTCCGCGAGACAGTGGTGGAGGTTCCCAACGTGGCCTGGACCGACATTGGTGGTCTCGAGGAGGTCAAGCAGGAGCTGCGCGAGATGGTTCAATACCCCGTCGAGCACCCCGAGATGTTCCTCAAGTTTGGCATGTCTCCCTCCAAGGGTGTCCTGTTCTACGGTCCCCCCGGCTGTGGTAAGACCCTGCTGGCCAAGGCCATTGCCAACGAGTGCCAGGCCAACTTCATCTCCATCAAGGGCCCCGAGCTCTTGACCATGTGGTTTGGTGAGTCAGAGGCCAACGTCCGCGACGTTTTTGACAAGGCACGTGCGGCCGCGCCCTGCGTCCTGTTCTTCGACGAGCTCGACTCGATCGCCCAATCGCGTGGTAGCTCCCTCGGCGACGCCGGAGGTGCCTCGGACCGCGTCATCAACCAGGTGCTCACGGAGATGGACGGCATGAACTCGAAAAAGAACGTCTTTATCATTGGTGCCACCAACCGTCCCGATATTATTGACCCTGCCGTCCTGCGTCCGGGTCGCCTTGACCAGCTCATCTACATTCCCCTCCCCGATGAGGAGTCTCGCCGCAGCATCCTGAAGGCCAACCTGCGCAAGACGCCGCTGGCCGATGATATCGATCTCAACGTCGTGGCCGCCAACACCAAGGGCTTCTCTGGTGCCGATCTGACCGAGATTTGCCAGCGCGCCGTCAAGCTGGCCATCCGGGAAAGCATCGTCAAGAGCATCCAGCTCAAGGAGGAGCACGCCCGCAACGGTGACGATATGGATGAGACGGATGACGTGGACCCCGTGCCCTGCCTGCGCCGCGATCACTTTGAGGAGTCGATGAAGTTTGCCCGCCGCTCCGTGAGTGACCAGGACATTGCCAAATATGAGATGTTTGCCCAAAGGTTGCAACAGTCGCGTGGCTTTGGTGACTTCCGGTAAGCTTCAGAGCCCCTTGCCTCTCCTTTCAATGCCGAACATATGTGCTGCCTTCCGCATCCCCAAATCCGCCCATCTCACACGCATGCCTCTCCCCACCACTAGATTCCCCGATGCCCCTCAGTCACAGCAAGCATCTGGCAGTGCGCCAGCGGCCAACCCCCAGGTTGGCGCCAATGACGACGCCGATGATGACTTGTACAATTAATTTCTGGGCATGTTTGCCAGGCTTCGCTGTTGAATCTTGGCTGGCACCCCGTGTTCAAACCAACCTAACATACAAAGCTTCCCCTTTTCCCTCTTGTTTACGTGTCTGCCATGGCTTTGTGCCTCTGCTGGGTCCTCATGGTAATTGATCATCGCCATTGCACCTCACTCTTATCCCCAACACCAAATGTGATGCCTTGTTGTTGACAAAGCCGTCGATCAAAGTATTGGGGCACCCCATATAAACCTAAAAGGCAGTTTAAAGATTCGACCCGAAGACCCACATTGGATCCCCCAGGTCATGTGTGAAAGAGGCCCGAGCACACACTAGTGGAGTCGGGTGTCTATTGATATGCGTGTGTGCTCTCGATAACCATCAAGAAAGACGAAGTGCTCGGGAAAAATAATCACTGTTTTCTGCTAATTTTGACCCATTTTTTTTTTCTTCTTCTTCTTCATGACTCGAGCTCTTAAATTTGACATAGTTGACATGAGGTTGGTCACATTAGCACACAAATACGCTGCATACGCATCAACATCGAAATGGCTCGCGTACAAAGCCAAGAGGAAATGCTCAAAACATTTGCCAAACAACGTCCCGCATCTAGCTTTTTGATTAATCATGTAAAATCCTCGGATTCACTGAGGTCTGCACAGTCAAATTTCGATTTCCGCATCGCGTGGATGTTCGTAGAGGTGAAAGCAAAGAACAGAGCAACACAGCGTTCGGTCGACACGTTGGCGGTGGCGTATAAAAAGTTTACATAATATTGTTTCGTAGCACAAAATCCTAAGTAAAAGCGAACGATAGACACCTGACGGGAAGGCGTGTGGCCAGGCAAACATAGATACTCGTCGCCTAAGCCGAGTCCTCGGGAACGATACGCTGACGCAAGCCAAACCCGTTGGGCTCGCAACACACGTCCGCACTACAGGTGGTCACCCATGCACACACGAGATGAGCATGACTTCCGGCGTTTTCCGCCTCGAAAGCCAGTCGGGCTCACAAAGGAAGCGAGCGAAAGGGGCCAACATACATGCAGCCTTGTACGCAGTTGCCGTAAGGTTGACAGGTACCCGCGACCACTTGCTCGGCAGTCAACTAGGAAAAGGGCAAAGCGAAGGGAGCGCAAATTGGCGAATGATTGGCGATATCCCCACTTGAAAAGGCGGGCAGCCAGCATGCACACGCGGGCTTTATGGGCGCATGACTCACGTCCACGTATTCTGGTTGGATGGTCGCCGAGTGAATGTTGTATTTGTGCAATAGATCCTGAAGCCGAGTCATCAACTGCAGGACGACACGGGACGACACGGGGCGACACGGGGGAATTTGAGCACAAGCGTAGCAAAAAGCAAAGACAGAAAGGTATAGCAGAGCCCAAGCTCACCTGTGGCCAGGCCTTTGTGGAAATGACCTTGACATGCATGGTGCCAATGACTACGCCATCCACCAACTGCCAAACATGGAGCTCATGCAGATCAACAATGCCTTCCACCTGCAAGATCTCCCCAGACAGGCTGCACACATTGGCGAATCGTCAGTGGCCGATGATACGGTGAGCGTGTGTGTGTGTGTGTGTGTGTGTGTGTGTGTGAGTTGGAGCAATCCAGTAAGGTCGGAAATAGCAAAGTCTTTGAGTGGTTGAAAAGCAACAACAAAACAACAACGACAACGAAAAAAGGTGTCGGTCAAGGTGTGTACAACATACCGTTGGACGTCGACATCGCTGGGCGAGCTCTGGAGGAGGATGAGACCACACGAGCGGACCAAGGGTACAGCGCTGACAAAGATGACAATACTCGAGAGGACAGAGGCGACCGGATCGGCATACACGACCCTAGTGTAGATGCCAGACCGAATAGATGGGAGAGCGGGTGAGTGGGGGCACACAGCACGCAACACGCAGCTGCTGGAGCGCACACGGGCCACCTACCAAGGATGATCAGTTTGCTTGAAAAAGTAGACCAACAGGCCAACCACCAAGACCAGAAGAGAGGTAAAGACATCTCCGGCAAAATGCAGGAAGAGGCCCCACATGTTGTGATCCTATAGGGATGGGTGAGGTCAGGGTGAAGAAGGCTTGCATGAGGAAGCGTATGGAAGGGGTTCAAGGGCGAGACGTGGGCAAAGTGGTTGATGAAAATAAAATACAAGAAACAAGATACGCACAATGCCACCATGCCCGTGGCTGTGGCCGTGGTCATTGTCATTGTGGGCGTGACCGTGAGCGTGACTGTCCTGGTCCGCACTGCTGCTCTGAGAATGACTGTGGCTGCGGCTGTGGCTGTGACCGTGGGCATGCTCATCATCATGGCTATGGCCGTGACCATGGCGGTCATTGTCATCCGAGTCGGCGCAATCTCCATCATTGATGCTGTGGGCCCTGTCGATGATGAGCAAAGAAAGGCAATTGGTGTTGGATGATTGGTGTGGACCGAGAAGATAGACAAGCCAAGAAGCAAGGAATAAAAAACAGCAGCAGCAGCAGCAGAAAAAGCAGCAGCAGCACTGCAACAACGTACTGGCCGCTGTAGCTTCGATGCTTGCGACTGGCGAGACCATGTGCATGCCCATGGCCCTCAGACGATCCACTTCCATGCCCGTGTTTATGACCACCGCCACCACCATGACTATGCCTGTGTACAAAAAAGAGGGTGGTGTCAGGCGAGGCAACAAGAAAAGCGGTCAGAGAATCTCTCTTGTCGACGAGAGCTACAGCACGTTGGGTGAGGAGTAAAGGGTACAACACGCACCCATGGCCTCCGAGTGCAACAACTCCAATAATATTGAAGAGCATGCCCACGCCTGCCACGATGATGAAAGATAGGCTATCGTCGCGGTCCACGTCTGCAGAAGAGCAAAACATCATGTCTTTGAGGCATGTGTGCGTGGAGGGATTGGGGTTGCCTTGCGTGGCTCATCTAGACGCAAAGGTCTCGAGTTGGAGCAGCACTGACCGTCGGGCTCAATGAACAAGGGAACGGTTTGGAGGGTGATCATAATGGCAATGACAATGAGGAAGATGCCGTTGGAGATGCCGCCAAGCAACTCTGTGCGACGCCAGCCAAAGGTCATTCGGTCTGAAGCACCCTGAGGAAAGGTGAAGCAATGAAAGGGTTATGACAAGGCAGGCAGTGAGGAAAGACATCCACCCAGGCAGGTGACCCAAGAGGGCGAAGAAGGGGACAAGCAAGCTGCCAGAACCCGGTAGAGCATGGCAATGCACGGTCAGGGACTCACCTGCATTTTGCTGCGCTCGGCCCAATATGCGACGGCCAGGGAGATGGCATCGCTGAGGTTGTGGAGGCCATCCGAGAACATGGTAAGCGAGTGCACGATAAGAGAGACGGCCA